TAGATAGATAGATAGATAGATAAAAGAAAGAGCTAAGTTTCTCACATTCCCAAAGCACAGACATTTAAGAACAACACCAAAAATCATGAAAGCTGGCAACACTGCAATAAGGCACCCAGTTCCCAGAAAGGGATTAACCAGCACCCCACCTGCATGACTTTGTGGATCTCCTTCTCAGACATCAGAGGCCTCATCTACACTGCCTCTATCTATGTCATATCCATTTGCTCCCACTCAGTGCTGGCTACATGCCTCAAATGAGGCAGTAAAGCCATCTCAGAGCAGCCCTGAGTACACACCACAAAGCACGGCTGAGTCAGAGCCTGAGGGTAGTGTATGGGTGCATACTCAGGACTGCTGCTGGCCACCCTGCCTCATTTCCAGTGCTTGACACATGCTGACAAGAAGTAAGTGACCATGGTGTGCTTTGTGCCGTGCTCAGGACTGCCGGTGAGGAAGGGACAATAATTCCTTAGTCTTCTCATCAAGCATCTACCTGTGGCTTTGGGTTCCACTGGGCAGCAAGATGCCTGAACATAGGGCGTTGCCACATTCAGGTTGCTCATGTCCCTTGAGGTATAGGTCCAGAAAGACTGCCAAAGGTTTCATTGGAAAAATGGTAGGTGGCAGAACTGTTCCAGCTCTCAAGTTGCTCTCAAGTTGCAGTGAGGAGCCCTAGCTCTAAGACTCTGTTCTCTTACCAAGCAAAAAGTGCATGCTCTCTTCTTAGCCCAGCCACAGGTCTTTTCCAGGGCTTTGTTGTTTTTATATTTGAGTTCTCCTGTTTCCCACTTTCGCATTTTAACTTTCCTTTTTTCCAAGTCAGGCATCTCGGCTGAACTCAGTGGCCCAATCAGTCTAAGATCCATATCTCAACGTACATACCACAAAACCTAACTGCTTGGTCTCATTAAAAATCCTGTGCTTTTTTTTGCAACAGCCAGGGAGTTAGTTCTTGTACTGTTGTGAATGGTAATTGTCTGCCTATTTAAATACCCCATGCACTTTTCATGGGTAAGGGCATTCTCATTCTTTCTCTCTCCTAAACGTTGCACAGTGCATTGCTAAATAAGTATCACATAGTTGTTCCCAACAGGTAGCCAAGTAAAATCCAAGGTGGATGTTATCTTGCCCCTGTAGGGGTTGGTCCATTAGAAGGTAACAGTTGGCTTCTGTAGGCTTCTCCACTGTAATCTAAGCATTGCTGACAACCTATGCATAGAGTCATTATGGCTGCATTCCTTTGAAAATGAAAACAGCTATATATTAATATGGGCTGCTGCCCTTAATTTAGGCTGCAGTTAGTGCATACCAGCCAAGTCCTTGTGTTGGATGAGGAATTCATGCTTTTATTTATCTTGTGTTTCCCTAGCAATCATAACACTGTTTTCCCAAGTAATGGCAGGCTGAAAGGCACAGAGAAAGTAGGCAAAAGAGCTGTCTGAAAGTGGGGGGGTGCAACCTCTAGAAAGATAGGTCAGGAATACACTGAACTCTCCCTACAATGCACTGACTGCCAAAACCCACTATTGCTGGAACAGAAATAGAAAGCAAATTTGGGGTACAGGGTACTAAGAACAGTAAGAAACTACTATGTTGTCAAGTCTAGCCCCTGCTGTCATACACAGCCAGTGTTTAATTCTGAACTTTTTAAAATGTGCACTGTGCTGTTCAGTAGAGGGGACAAGTTTAAAAAAAGTATGCCTTGCGCTTGAATTGAAAAGTGGTGACATTTGTGATGGTGCTTCAGCTCTGTGGGAGTTTGTCCCATAACCTTGGACCAAGCCCTGAGAAACTTCTGCTCCTGCACAAACACATTCAGGATAGAACAAAGCAGTGTGCCTGAGGAATGAGGTTTTTTACTATGGGCCTCATCCCAGTGCTTTAGGCAGTCCTTATACTGGGCCCAGGCTCTTGAGTGTTTTGCATTTAAGGATGCAGACCTTTAAATTTGACTCTATTGTATGCAAGGCCAGCAGGGGGAGTGGAGGACATACTAGATTTACAGCCTGCGTTGCTGAGATTTGCTACTTGTAAGGGTTGATGCTGCATGTCCATTGTTGTTATCCAGATGTGAGGTGAAAGAGACATGTCCAACGGTCTCCAGGTCATCATCCGCCAGGACAGGAGAGTTTATTACTCAGCCAGAAATATTTAAAAAATTATTTGGAAGACACCACACAACCCTTTGTTTACCTCTTGAGACTGAAGCTATACATGCCACATGGTTAGCCATGACCCCTCTGTAACTGCAGTCAGGAAACTATAAAGACGGGATGTTCTTCTACTTGCCCTTAATCTCCCATGTGGCCCTATGTCAGGCAACTCAAAATAAATAAAAGGTAGCACTAAAATGTATGCATTCCTGGCTGATTCCAAGATCTCTTCTATTCCTTTCCCCAAATGGAAAAGGTTGGCTTTATGCGAAGAACCTCCTATGTCTAATTTTAGAAACAGAGTGCATTTCTCCCAGCTTCCAGCTGCCTCATGTCCCATGAGTCTCATGGGACCAGCTCCTGTGAATGCTCCAAATGTAATGGCTGGCTTCATTCCCACCCCCTGCCCGGAAAGACTTATTAAAAAGAGCATCTGGCAAGAAGTTTATGTAAAAGACCATCTGATCATTCACATGTTAAGGCTAGCTGAACTTCCATAAAGTAGCTGCATTTTGGCTCCAGTCTGGATAAACCAAAATTATTCTGTTTACAACATTTCATTGCAACCTCTTTTAAATACCTGTGATGTGAGAGTCAAGAACATCAGTGACAAAAACACACCCCTGCTCCAGAAGCAGCTGTGCTTACGATTATGGGACCAGTGAACCCTCAGTTCTAGAGGTGACCCCTGCATGTAAGGACTGAGGTACATTTACAAAAGGAGGATCCAAGAAAATCTCACACTGCTGCTGCATGTACCTGCCCCATGGCTAGAGGCTGTCAGTCTCAGAGGCTATAAATAAGGCATTCTTCATAACTGAGGAAGGCATGTAGTTTTTCACTTTCTTTAAATAAAAACAAGAGAGAAAGGCTACAGCCTATCCTAGAAGTGCTCTGCTAGCTGCTCATTACATTGAATAACGTATAAAAGTTCCCTAGAAGAGTCTTTTTTCAGCCCTTTAGTAACTCTCTGTGGGTGGGTCTACATGTTCATTAATGTGCTTTAACTACAGTGCATTCAGTTTAGTACCTGTAATAATAATAGGTACTACTAATAGTTAGACTAAGTCTACTTCACATTAGCACATTAGCAAGGTTTTAGCCAGCCACACTAATGTGCAGTAGAATTAGTCTTCTGTGCATGAAGTGCCTCATGTAGATGCTCCCTGTAATATCATCATGAGCTTCTTGGAGCATCATTTTCTTCTATCTCTACTTACACTCAACATGATGAGATTCAGACCCCCAACTGCGGTTCCTAGATACTATCGTGACAAAAATAATGATCATTTGAAGGAAACAATTCCAGGCAGCTCTGTATTAGGAGCAGGGAACTTGTTTAGTTTAGCAGAGTGGGAAAACTAGGAAATAGGACTCCCCAACTCTGTCACTGACTTACTGAGTAACTTGGAGCAAATCAAGTAATGTTGCTGGGTCTGTTTATCCAACTTACAGTATGGGCATCATGCTTCCCTACCTCACAAGAGTATTTTGAGGCATGTTTAATTAGTGCTTCTAAAGTGCTTCAGTATTGTTGGATACAAGGTGCTTTCTCTAAGAATTGTAATTTGACAGGCTCATGAGCACCACATCAGCTGATGGGCATGCCTCACCTCCTTAGCTATGTTGCACAGAAGTCTGTTCGCCCACCACAACTTGTTGTGGAGTTGGATTTTACCTCTGGAGGTGATGTTCAGTGATTTCCCTGGGATCCCGGATGACTCTGCTGGCACATCTTCTGTGGGATTCCAAATGTTATAATGGGGGATCTCTCCTCCAGTTTTGAGGCCTGATGACAAGGACGGCTGTAGGAAGTTTGGCTGCAGCCCTGTAGGCTTGTGAAAATTACAACATAACGATAATTCAACTAAAACAGCTTGGATCATGTAGTAGGCAAGGCAATGATCCCCCCATGATGGGTGCTTTCCATCATCATGTGGGGTACATTGGTACACAGTGAACCCTTCTCCCACAGGTTCTCTAGTGAAGGATGCCCCTTTTGTTGAGCATGTATCCAGGACTGAATTCCACCCAGCCAGGTGCTATAATGTTGCAGAGCATATCCCCCTGTGCCCACACGCTGCTCAAGGTCCCAAGAGTCCCCTGCTGGGGTACTCTGGTTCCATGGAGGCTCAATGGGGGCGTGTGCAGCTAGTAGGGTCCCATGCCAGGTTCTCCCCTCAGGACGCTTCTGTGCCACCCTCCCCCAGTCACAGCTGACCTGTGGGCTCCTGTCACGGGTGGCAGAAGCAGTGCTGGGTTGTGGCCACTTGATTTGCCAGCTGCAGCAATCCAGCTGGCATCTGCTGCTGTATCCAGGGCTACCTCGACAATCCAGGCTTCCCCTTGTTCTCTGGAGATTTTAGCCCTGGAGAGAATTATCAGCTCTCTGCTAGCAGTGGGGCGCACATCCAGGCACTTCCCAGGCACCCCAGTGGCACTACGGACATGCACTGTTTCTTCAGGTGCACTGGACCAGAATACACGTGCTGGGTCCCTTCTGGCTCCCTCCATTGCCGGTGCTCCCTCTTCTCTCCACCATGGCTCTGATTCTGGGCTTCCTTTAAGCCCAGAGCCTTTTGGCACCAGACCATCCTGCAGCTGCATGGGGCCATTGCCCTCAGACTGGCCACATGGACACTGGCATGGTGTTAAGTGAGTCTTTAGCCTATCACATAAACATTATTTCCACCACTCCTACTTTATGCTTAGATTTCAATTTTCCAGTTCAATTCTGAATAGCAACACCAGAAACCCTTCCGATTTGGGCTAGGCTTTACCCAAATCCAAACTTTGCCCCTCAGACCAGCAGCCACCAGAGCTTAAATCATTGTTTCAAGCTTTATTTTTCTCTCTATCTGAAAAAAGCCTCATCCATGGTTCGTATGAAGGGCAGAGCTTCCTCAGTCAGTCACATCACGAAGGTGCATGAAGAGGCTAGAAGGATTAAAACAGAGAGGTGTCTTCACCGAGCAAGTTATCACCAGAAGCCTACTGATTTGCATGCTGCCTGGAAAATGATGGATATTTATCCTGCGTCTATGCATCTCTGTCTGCACAAGGACAGCTTTGCTTGCCTGGCACATGCAGTGAATGTTGCAGGTTGGATTACTGTAGTTTATAGTATATCATAATAAGCAGCCTCCCTTCTGTAGCAGAAATCTACTATGCAAGTCAGTAATTACTGTCTGCTTAGGACAATCTGGGGAAAGTCTTTTAGTCTCTGAAATACCGTTTTGAATTCATTTCTCCTCTTCCACTGTCTATTGCTGGTTATCTGTATTTTATAACCTTGCTTTCTTATGGCCAAATGGTGTTGAAGAGTGCCCAAGTAACCCCGTTAACACCAATGGTGCTGCTTACAGAATAAGGCTCCAGACAGAGGGAAAGGTGCCAGAGTAAAGGCAGAATATGGCCCTTTATCTTTATCTTCATCACAACATCTAGAAGCTCCCAAATCCACTGTACTACACTCTGCACAGACCTAGAAAGATACAGTCCTGAACCTTAAAGAGCTGTTAAATTAAGAAAGCTTTCATCTGGAAGTAGAAAATGTGCCATGCACTTGCTGCCTTTCCTTTTGAAGGTAAGCACTTTTCATTTTATAGGATTTAGAGAGGATGAGGGGAAAAATCTCTGCTCCCTATTAAGCTTAGAAATATTTTTGCTAACAACATTTCCTAACATGCCAAGATGTAAAACCAAGGCCCTGAGCACTGTGGCCTCTAAAGCATGGATGACTGGCCTTGCAGGAGTGAAGGTGTTGTCTTCAGTAAGTATGTTATTTTCAAAAGACCAAGGAGTTAAACTTATAAAACAATAATGCTCATTTATTCAGAGAGCTTTCTTAGCCTACTGATCTGCTGTTCCCTCCCACATTCCTGGGGCCAATGTAATAATTTATACATAACACTCTTAAAGGTAATCGCACATCTCCCCGCTTTACACGTAACATATCCCCATGTAATACTAACATTGGAAGTTTAGTTCAACCCATTGTTAAAACACATTTTAACAGGTCTCTATTAGTCTTTGTGTTGACTTTTTAGGTCTAAGTGATCTTCTCAGTTTCTCTGTATTCTCAATCCTTATTGGTTCAGTTTTTGTTTGGTTTCCTTGTTCAGATGTCTCTACTTCTGTACCAGAAGCCAAACAGCTTTCCTGTTTGGCTTCTGACAGTTGTAGGCTATTATAAAGAGACAGAGTTTCTGGGCTCGCTGTATTTAAAAAAAATAGCTACTTCAGTGGATCTTCCTTCTCTGTAGCTCCACTGGTCATATATATGGTGAAGCGTTGCATAAATTTCTTCCAGTTTTCTGCTGCATTGCTGGACAGCTTTAACTCTTCTGGAATTCGGAGATGCTCCCTTTTTCTGCCTTTCTTCACACTCCATTCCTGGTACCACATGTTATTCTCAAAAGGAGTTAAACTTATAAAACAATAAAGCTTGCTCATTCAGAGAGCCTTCTCAGCCTCCTGATCTGCTGTTCCCTCCTGCAATACCTAGGCCAATGCAACAGCTTATACATGGCGTTCTGAAAGGTATTCATCCACACAGTAAACACTGTGGTGCTCCAGCTAGAGAGGAGACCAGGGCGATCATAGGAAATGTAGTCCAGTCGGGAAGACTGGCCCATCAGGGAGAATGTCAGCCTTGAAATATCTACTCTACAGCTCCCATGAAACATGACAGTGTCATAAATAAAATGTAGGGGGTGTTGCCAAAAATGTTCCATTTAAAACTTTTGGCCTAAACGCTTACGTGTTTCACAGAACAAAGGCAAAAAAACCCTAAGCAATTTTCCAGCTAGCTCTAATAGGTAATCGCAATCCCCTTGCCTAAATATTACCTGCAGAACTAGACACGAAGGGATTGCCTGAGGGGGTACCCACAAGCAGAGTGTGATCGTCGACTACACCTAGGATTCGTCTACTCTTCCTGAGCTCAGAAGTGAACCAGTATGTGATGATGATGTGGTTGCATTGAGGGGGAGCCGGGGTCCACGCTCTGCTCCACTGCAGCAGTCCCTGCATCCTGTGGGCAGCAGCCGGGGATCAGGCACTGCTGCAGGGGGCAAGGACCTGCAGACCTGGGTCCCTGGCCCTGTAGCCCTGGCAACTGGGGGCACCCTCCAGCAGGGCCGGGGGGGCACGGGGCTGTGGGTGGAAGGCAAGGGGCACCAGCAGGGCCAGGGGGCTGTGGGGGGGGGAAGTGAGGGGTGCCAGCAGGAGTAGGAGCTTGGGGGGGGAGTGAGGGGCACTGGGGAGGCTGTGGGGAGGAGAGAGGGGCACCAACCGGGCTGGGGGCCCAGAGCTTGGGAGCAAGGAGCCTCGACCTGCATTCTGCGTGCTAAGGGGACAGGGGGAGCTCTGATTTTCCATGATAAAAATAACCCAAATCAAATACCAAAATGTATATGTATGTAGAAGCTATTTTATGACGGTGACTGAGGCACTGGTAGGCTTCCAAATTGCTTTAAAATTGTAAATATAGCAATAAAATATTGTGTTCAATTGATACCTATATATAGTGGCGTTTCATTTTAATTGTGGATGTGGGGGGGTTTATCAGAGAATTCACAATTTTTTTTGCCAGAGAAAACCAGGATCCCTGCTGATAACTCTAGCTAGTTCTAGAAGCTGCGGAGGAGAAAGGAGATATAAGCCGGGGAGCTGGAGTGTGCACACACCTGTGTCACTGCCTGCCAGCCTGCAGCATGCTGGCGTCCACGGAAGTGGGCTGGTGTAAAACCCCAGAGCATGGAGACGGAGGGAGTCTGCTATGTGGGGACAGCAACTGAAAAGGCTGGAGCCGTGGGGGAAAGCAACATGCTGAGGCCAGCAGAGAAGCCAAGGCCTCTGAGGACGAGGAAGAGCTGACTGCAGAGACAGTGATAATTCCTGCCTGCCACTGGGACCAGCTATGGACTGCAAAATAAGCCTTGACCAGGTGTGAAAGTGAAAGGTGTTTGGAGACAACATGTTTTAAACCTTTAGGTCATAATCTGTCTTTCCCAGTTCCATTGTAGTGTTTTTCCTAATTATTAAAGTTGGGGTTTTTTATCCTTAAAATTAGCTTTCCTGTTATTATCTCACCTTACAAGGAGTTTGTACCCTTGTGGCCTTGGTTGATTTGGGGTCCCATCACACAGTGTGTCTGTGCACTCTTAAAAACCAACCAACCTGGGAGGGGGCAGATCCAGGCAGAGGGAGAAAAAATTATTTGGGGGTGTGCCTCCCCAGCAGGTAAGTCCCACCCAGCCAGGGCCCCACTCAACTTACCCCTGCTCCTGCCTCTGCAGCACTGTCCCTTACCATGGGGGCCTTGATCTAGCCCCTGCCCCTTCCCCATGGACTGACCGGTGTTGCACAAATGGCTAGTTTCATGCCCCTGGAGGCTTGTCCAATCCACCTCTAGGAGAGAGTCACACACACAGGCTGGGTCCAAGTTCAGATTTATTGTTTGCAAACAAGTTCGACAAGGGAGCTTAATTTACTCAAATCCGTGTCGACTCCAAACAGAGTCTGGGGTTCCTTTTTATAGCTAATATAAACAAAAGATTCTAACGTGTCGCGTAATTATTGGCAGCCCAAGTATTACGTCTTATAACATATGTCTAGCAGGTTCTATGATGGTTTACATACATGTCTCATTTACATCTTAAATCGCCTCCCTGGGGCCGTCCTTAAGTCCATTTCGGTCATTCTTCGGTCAAGGTCTGAGTTCTTCACATCAGCATCTTTCCCTGTCCCTCTTCTCTTATCTCTCGTAAGGAGTTATTTATTGCATCTGTTCTTGGCTATGTCTGTAGAAGTCTAGTGCTACTCGTAAATCTATCATTGGCCTACATACCTTAGCAGAAGCAAGTGTGATAATATGCAGAAGCAATTATGTAGTGAAA